AGGGACGAGTTCTATAGGACGCCGTTCTGTTGTGAGCGGGTGATTGCAGCGCATTCTCGCGTAGGATCCTAGTCAACTCAGAGGATCCTTCCCCCCGAACCTCGACTCATCCATCGCCCGCTCCAAAAGTGAGGTTAAGCCGGAGATTGAAAAATAACACATAAGGCGGCTGAATTCTTGAAAAATAAGTATATTTTTGGCGTTTTTCGACCCCTTTCGACTGGGAAGGGCCTGCCGCATGCATTGTTACGGTGAAAAATTCGATTTTTTGCAGTTATACGCGATCCTACGGATTTTAATGAAGTCCAACAACTGATAACAGCAGTGAGTTGCGAGGATCCTACGCGAGAATGCAGCACTAGTACCTGCTCACGAATTTTTACATTGACTCTTAGGGCCGATTTTATCTCTCAGTGTCAGGACGGCGCTAACACCGGTGTCAGGTAACACCCGTTTTTGCTTGACACGGCCGCTGACACCAAGACCGATTTTAACTCCCCGATTTCTGCCTGTGTCACCGGACACGCTCTTGACACACTGTTGAATGGTGCGTCCCGATGACTACCGCCGCGCGCTACAGACCTTCCTGCTAACATCCGAGATTTCGCTCGAAATTCGCGTCTGTTCACGCTACTCACGTCGTTACCACCGTGTTTATTTTCGTTGGATTTGAGGTTAAGTCGTGCTCCTGGTGTCTCGTGTTGTCGTCGTGCTTGTGAAAATTTGGTATTGTGGTATTGTGTGTGTATTTGGTTTTTGTGTGTGTGGTATTTTAAATTCGTGATTATGGTTAATAAACAAAAAAAAGCTGGCGGGCCTCAGAAACGGGCAAAACCCTATACGGCCATGCAAATGGAATACCTCACGGAGGCCATTCGAAAGAGACAGAAAGTCATTGAGTGCAAGAAAACGGACACTGTCGTGAATGCAGAAAAGACAGTTGCATGGCAAGATGTAACCAATGAATTCAACGCCCACCTCACCCCTGAAGATGGACCACGGACCCTGGTTCAGCTGAAAGGCAAGTGGAAGCAGATGAAACGGGATGCCGGCAAAGTCATCAGAGAAATCTATCGAGAATGGGGTGGAACGGGAGGAGGACCCCAGTGGAAGGAAAAACTGCCAGCACTGGAAGCCAAAATTTTCTCTATTTGCCCCAAGTCGTTTCTGGCAGCACGCACCAACAAATATGACTCTGATGGAGGTTAGTTTTCTGACTTTGAATGCACAGTTTATTCTTTAATTTTGATTCTACAGGTACTTTCACGTATTGTTCCCAAACAAGTACAGCTGTGATTTACAATTACTTGAAAAGTTTGTAGTTGATCATGCACTGATGAGTCATGAGGCTTCATAATCAGATTGTTTATTATCCTCCAATGAATATATTCCTCTGTGCATTCAGTTGCAGTTGTGAGCAATGTGTGCAAGTGATGCTAAAACAGCACAGGTTTCTTCACATTGATTGCGGTGGCCAAATGTTGGTTAGCACTGACTTAATTTTTTTGAACACAATACTCCCGCAACAATTTGATATGCTTTGGACCATGTTACCTAGCATAAGCATTTTACGTTAACGAGCCTGTCAAGTTGCCCAACGCTTACTCAACATATTAGGCTTTTTGCAATGTAGGTATCTTTTCTTCTCTCCAGGTTACCAAACGGACCTACAACAAATTTTAGCATTGCCACATCCTTCCAGTCCCAGATTACTGTTTCTACATCTAAACATATTATGAGAAAGCGAAAAGGACCAAAGGGTATCGGCGAGCCAACAAACATTTTGAAAATCACATGAAGACCATGTCTTCAAAGTAATATTGAGAGAAAAAAATCCTGAGATCAGGCTGGCATGCTTCTCTGAATTCAACTTATTGCAAGTTTTTAATTTCCAAGCGTTGAAACTTAAACTTAATTTCCTGTTTTTTCCAGGTCAAATTGTTGCGGAATCCGACTGCGATGAGGAACAGAGTGATTATGATGAAGAAAATGGCGTTGACGAAAATAATTTGAATTCATGCAACACACGCAAAGAAGCTCATTGTTCTATGCCAGAGTTCCAACAAATTTTGGACTCCACCATTCCTATTGACGGAGCCGTAAGTGCTTCCTATGAAAGCTTCTTCATTCTTTCAAATAACATGTACCTATAAATGATGGCATTTCAAACCCTTTATTATTGTTTCACTCTCTTAAAGGCAAACTAGGTACAAACATTACCCATTGTTATAACTTTGTAAAGCCTCTTGCTCACAAAATGTTTGGTAAATCTTTCAAGAAGTAGCACTTGTTACCTAAAGTTTCCATGAAAGAACTATTATTAAATGTGACAAGAAATCTGGAACAATTTACATGGAGAAACATGGTTCTTTCCTTTAATAGGACTACATCATGCTGCAGGTTTCTATGTTCTGCTTTACTAACTTGCACCCTCAATAACATGTATCATCTTGTCTTTCTGCAGAATGCGGGTGGAGCAGAAGTACAGATGCAAAACAGTGGGTCTGAGGCAGAAGATGAATTTGAGGATTATATACTAGAAGTAATTGAAGATTGTGGGGACACAAGCTCTACATCTGTTGGTAAGTTAATTTTATCAGTACCCAACTTCTTCATCAATTTTGTTCTGAACATTCTGAAATAGCTATTTTTCTGCAAAAAAATGCCAAAAATTCAACTGAACTCTAGACAAAACAGCAATTAAAAACGCAGGCCTGCCGTTTTACTTTTACCTGACAGGTCATATGTGCGGTATTTCTATGTTTATTTTATATCAGTGATTTCAAGAGTGAACACTATTTTTTTTCCCCGTTACATCAGAGTTCTTTGCGAAACTGTTGTTAGTTTTAACGGGATTAATTTTCGGTTCAGCAGTTGCGAATGTATATGCAGCCCTAAAGGAAGTAAAGAATAACAAGTCTCAACAATTTATTTAATAAACTCTTTATATCCTTTTCTTTAGGGCGGGGGAGAAGTTTTCAGAGCTCTTTGAAAGTTTTTACAAGTATCATTTTTCTGAGTAGATTCCAGAAACTAAATTTTCCCTTGAAAACTATGAACGTTACGCAAAAAATATGTACATGATAAAAAGTAGTAGCATCACTTCAGGAAGTAGCTCAAAACGCAATATTTCAACCACGTACAAGCTTCCTAACTACTTTTAACGGCCTTGCGTACTTTGTACCCAAACTGGAACTATTCACTTACTGTAACAAATGTTACAAATCATTAACCTGTAGCTTCAAAAATCTTTTCCATTTTAGTTTTCCTCAAAATATCCACTCAAGTTCAGATTGATCGCTTCCACCTGGTATTCTCATTATCCGGCTAAAGATAGTAATTTGCAAAAATTTCTGTCCTGATAAAAAAATGGATGCCATTTTCAAATTTAGCGCTGATAGCTACCTTGGAAGCCATGTTCAGAAAAACAGTGGTCTTTTTATTGCTCTCTCAATAATGTATTGTACGGAATGTCTTCGTTTCTTCATGCTTTTATTTGATACTTTTAACTTTCCAGCTCCTTCAGAAACATTAAACCATGGTCAGTCACTCGAACCGCCTTCTACGTCTAAGTCTCAAGGCTCCTCGAATCCTGGAACTAGTAAGAAATCTCCCGATACTGAAGATTCAAGTATCTCAAAGAAGGTGGATTGGTCCCATTACAATGTTCCAGCATTAAGAAGTAAAAAATCAGATGCTCTGACACTGAAGAAAGGTACGCATGTTTCCTTTAGATTTCTCATTCCTTGGATGAAATGCTTTTCTTCCTACCCTAGCATCAGTTTAGTTACCAAGCATACTCTTTTAAAGCTTGTGAGCTCTTGCACTTCTTTTAGAAGTTTAGGGTGTTCGTGCTGCATTCATGAGTAACTACTAGCCGTATTACGGCAGATACTGTTTGATATATTCACAGTTTCAAATTATACCTTTAAGCAATCCCCTAAGTATAATATTATTTAGTAAAAACTAGAAAAACTCATGAAACACAGTCTAATGTCCTCTTATGTTGTCTACTGAGAGATATCAGGCATGTCAATGTAAGTTGTACGAAACAACTGCTGTACCTAGTGTTAAAAATGGAAACTCTTTTTTGTTTGCCGTATTATTGGTCACCTTACGGATCACTCAACCACATAAAACAGTTATACAAAAAGAAGTTAATGAAAACAAGAAAGCAAGGTGATCAGATTTTTATTTTGTTTCATCAATCCCTCAAATTTTTCCTAAACCTTACTTTCAAATTCCTTCTTCCTTTTTGGAATTCATTTCTTGCTCTTTAATTTTGGTTTTTGCTGATTTCTCCGTACTTGAAATTCCTAGTATTTTTTAAGTTGACTGACTTTTTCAGCCCTTAAAAGATGGAGCAGCAACAAAATCGTACCTACCTTAAATCCTTTATTTTATTCCCATTCTTTTTTCTAAGAATTTTAAGGTAACAGTGTTCATGTTTTATGCTTAAATGTAGGTGATTAATTTTTTTCTCTTTTCTTTCTGTGTAGGTAAGAAGAGGAAGCTGTACGGTAAAACCATACAGGAAAAATATGAGCAAGACAGGCAAGTCCTCATCGAGACTCAGAGAGATTATTATATCACGCTACAAAAGCAAAACATTGAAAAGCATAATAAAGAAATGGAGCTGAAGAATTTGGAGGCTGACTACTGGTGTGCGAGGAAAGCAGCAGAGGAAAGGTACTGGTTACAGAGAATCGAAAGAGAAGAGAAAGAAGCTGCATTGAGAATGAAATTAGTCGAGGAGGAGTTGAAAGTAATGTCGAGGGGAACATCCAGCTCTAATGATTATAATGATAATACTGCTTTTTAAATCCTATCAGACTTTGCAGTATGTACATACTTGCACTGAGTAACGCTTCTTCATGTGCCCTGTGCCTCTGTATGGAGCTATGATTTTTCCCAACACTGTGATGCTTCAATTCTTGAAGTGTATAAAGTTTCGTTTTCTTACGTTCTCTGAAAAAGTCCCGTTATGTGCCATTGAGCTATGTACAAATTTGTGTCGGCCAATTCTGATGCAAGGTTGCTCGTTGAAATTTCAAATGACCTTCTTTTCATTTTAGGAGGAAATGCTTAGGATTAATTATGAGGAAAAAATAGTTTAGGTATCATTTCTTTAAGTAGCCTATATATTCCTGATTACCAGTATTTAATTTGTATTCCTTCCAGTATAGTCTCAAGAGTTGATCGCTAACTAATTAATTGTATATTCTTCATTACCTCAGATCAAAATCTTAAATTATCAATGTTACCTTGTGTTCATAGTTTTTGTTTTCTTTAATCTTTTTTAATTTTAAGTTTGTTATGTACGTCAATGAAGAGATTTCTTTTATTTCTATTTTTCGAATGTGTCAAGTAATAGAACGAGGGGCCTAAAACCACATTGAGCTCTCCTTTGCATACATTCTCTCAAGTGGAAGCCAGGTTCCTTGACACTGTACAAGATACACTTACCGAAAGCTCATTCTAGTGCCTTTAGTTCTTAGATTTTTCTTCCCTCCAATATGTTGCGTTACCTTGATTTAATTGTTGAAATGTTCAGCGAGTCCTTCAGCCCCTTTGTTACCTACATTGAGTAATTGAAGAAGGGCCCTGAAATTGGCTTGAGCTACTCTTTGGGTTGGTGCCCTTGAGCTAATTCCAGGCCCTTCACATTTTGCCAGACATTTAGCAAAAGCTTATTTCAAAGCTCCTAATTTTTGAACTCCTTTAATTTTTTGGGCAATCATGGCGTCTGAAAGAAAGCAGGAACTGCATTGCAAAGCTGGTTTCATTATGCAGCTTTGTTTCTCTTCCAAAAGAAGATTCACGTGCTTATAATCTTATTCTCAATATTTTAACTGAGAATTGTATAATTACCTATTCCAAATTGTCATTGAGAATAGAGACCCATCTTTTGCCTCATAGTTACCACTTAAAACTATGTGCAGTAATTAAACCCTTGCAAAATTGCTGTGCGTTCCATTCTCTCTGCCTGAAGACTGCCGAATAGGTTTAATGCAATTTGTACAAGACTTCATTTTTTTCGTTAATGATTTTCCCTTTTCGTTTATGTTTGTGGAAGTGTTAATCTATTTAAGCAGAGCAAGAAGTCTAATCTTTAAAGCTAATATGCAATTTATTTCCTAAGTCTGATGAATTTAGTCATATAAATTTTGCTAACTAATTTTAATTTTATTTTTTGCCTTCTCGTTAATTTCCCTCATTTGATTCAGTCTGAACCATTCTCAGTATTGAGATAAAAGCTGAGTCTGATGAATTTAGTCATATAAATTTTGCTGACTAATTTTAATTTTATTTTTTGCCTTCTTGTTAATTTCCCTCATTAGATTCAGTCTGAACCATTCTGAGTATTGAGATAAAAGCTGAGTCTCATGAATTTAGTCGATGAATGTTGCCACTAATTTTAATTATATTTTTTGGAGGCTTATTGACACGATGAATTTAGTCTTATAAATTTTGCTACTACTTTTAATTTTATTTTTATGGAGACTGAAGTATTGAGATAAAACTGAGTCTGATGAATATAGTCTTATAAATTGTGCTACTACTTTGGATTTTACTTTTTTCCTTTTCGGAGATTTTCCTTGTCACATTGTCTGATCCATTCTCAGTATTGAGATACAGTCATAGAAGTTCGCTTGTAAATACGTTTATTTTGTTGTTGTTCTTGTCCGCCATCCTTTGTACTTTACTTGCCTCATCTTTGTATTATCTAATATGTAACTTCTTTTTAAAATACATCTTAATTTTTGACAACTATCACTGATTTCCATTCTAAATAATTTGTCAGTCACTAATGCAACATTTGTTGCAATTAGCCTTTGTGAAAATTCCAAAGTTGCCCTCATGGCTATATTTTTAACGAATGAAGAAAAAAAGAGGAAAAAAAACCAAGCATTCTTGATATTTTTCTCACTCCGAGAAGAATACTCAAAGAAAATTTTAAATCGTCCAATAAAGTAATGACACATTGAAGGAAAATGTGGAATGTTATTAGGGTAGTTTCAGTTAATACAATCTTGTCTCGTATTACTTCATAAGTATCATTAAAAAGACGATAATGCGTTACTTTTAACTGTTTGCTTTAGTTTTGTTTTCCTTTTCTTTGCGATTCTGCTGGAGAGTAAATCAGGATGGCTTAGGGTTCTTAGAGGAGAGTTACTGCCTAGTATGAAAGTGATTTACAGTAATCGGCTGCCTCTAACAATAGTAGCAAAAGTACACTGGGGCTTTGTCAAATTTATCTGAAGAATGGACCACTAAACAAGGTAAGAATTTAAGCATTCTGATACATGTTCCTTCACCAAAATGTCACGTAAAACACGATGGGCACTACGAAAATTACCGAAATCAACTCCTTCCGAAGATATTTAAGGATTCTTGATGCGTGAATTCAAACCATCCGCTCATGAAAACTCAATACTCTACGTGATACACATCGCGCGCTGAACGGTATCATGACAGTCTCTGCGATATAAAAATCTGGCAACCTCAATCTTGACGCGTTGGCTCAGCTATAGCAAATTGCTTATAGTTTGAGCAACACATGGTGGGAAATGAACATTGCTCGATTGAGAAGCTTGCTGAAACTTTTGTAGTGCTCGATTTGACTCCTGTAGAGCTTTGAGTTTCTTCTTAGCGGGCAGTTCAAATTCCTCGTAACTAATGTGAAATAAAAATGTCGATATGTCCGTCAGGAGTTGGTTTCAGTAATTTTCGTTGTACGAATCGTGTTTTACGTGAAATTCTGGTTAAGAAACATGTAGCAGAATGCTTAAATTCACACCTTGTCCAGTGGTCCATTGCAAGGGAAAAATTGTGTGCTAAAAATTTGAGTAATTGCTCAAATACGAAATTTTAGTCACTTTTCTCAGCTACTTTTAGACAAGTCATTGCTCCTTTAAGTCACAGCATAGAAAATGATCTCCATAAAAATCTGAAAAATGTTTCGCAATAACATCAACAAGAAAGGGTACCTACATATGTAACTACATGCATCAGAGGAGCGAGATCAGAGTTACCAAAAAATGAAATAATTAATGGATGATATAAATACTTTATTACTTTTAAAAAATTAAACAATTACTTTCATGAAAAAATTAGAAAAATACTTACAAATTACACTTATTGATAACAATAAATTGTTAAAAAATCTTAATATTAGTGCCACTTCCTTCCACTTTCCATCAGCTGGTCACTTGTACAAACAGTGATGGGGTGGATTTATAACTGAATGGGGTACATGCACAAGACAACTGGAAGACACATGTGATGTTTTCATATTCACTATTCAGGAAAAAATTAAGAATATCAGAACTCCGTTCAGATGGGTAAAATTTTCTTAGTGAGAACTAATCGTTATTTAGTGGTAGATTAGCAAACCAATGCGTTATTAAAAACTCCCTTTCATACACATACGGCCTCCGTGTATTTTCTCTCACCTCTTCCGGAGTGTCATCTTCTTCAGGGATATCAACTTCTGGGTCATTAGGAGGTTCGTCCTCATTGCGACGGAGGGCCAGGTTGTGGAGCACAGAGCATGCAACAATAATTGCATCAACTTTTTCATTTCGAACACTAATTCCTTTTGCTAAAATAGGAAATCTTCGTTTCAAAACTCCAAAAGCTCTTTCCGAGCTGTTCCTGGTGCGAATTAATGATTCATTATATAATTGTTCTCCTACACCCCAAACCGTTCCATTTGCAGGTTCCGGGAGAGGTACCATAATGTAACTGCGACATACATACCCGGAATCACCTACAATGAAATTGCTACCAAATTCACCACCCTCGAGGCGTTCCTTAATGCTTGAATCATCAAATATGGTTTGGTCATGGGCTGATCCTTGCCAACGGGTTACAATATCTTGTATTTCTAGGTCAGGTCCAGTGACGGCTTGAACATTCCTTGAAAAGTAGCCTTTACGACCTCGATAAACTTCTGCTTGATTTCCACCTGAAACATAAGGCAAGTTAAGCATGACGGCAGTCTAATTGCAGTAGGACATTAAAATACGCAGGACTATACATGTCAAAGGCAAACAGTCAAATCAGGCATTGTATCAAATGCCTAGGCAGACCGTCAAATTTTCAGAGGTTTCAAGGTTTCTTACATTTTCAGAGACACCTCTCGAATTTCCAATATTTAAAGAATAGAAATCCATAAAAGTACAGACTTATATTGCATTTTCCCTTCAAAAATGCTCCTCACATTTCTTCAGCTGTTCAAATTATGAAATCTGTTTATTTTAATAGATGATGTGTATTTTGAGGTAAATGTGCAATTCAGGACTAGAAACAACTTACTTTTTATTGTATGAAGCACATTTCTACAGAGAAATTCCTTCCCACATGATCATAGCATTATTTTGTCTGCAGTAAGTAAAATAATCAGAATTTCAGTCTACGTAAGAATATTTGACTATTTGCCTTCGACACATACATAACTTGGAAGGTTAGAGATTTCTGGATATGCCTTACAATGAGCGGAACAACTATCGGAGGATTCACTTCGCAATAGGAGAGGAAAAAGATTACCTACACTTCCTTTTCAGGCACATTCATTAACACATAATGTTCTGTGAAGTAATAAAATTGTTTCTCAGAGAAGATATTTCTTTTCACAAAAGAATTTTGGACTAATACTGCAAGGTCAAAATACCATAGTATCAAAATTACATTAGACAGAAAGGTTTAAGCACAAACCTGGTGATTGAATTCTGACATGGGTACAGTCGATAGACCCAACGATCTTCGGGAAGCGGGCAAGCTCATAAAATTTTCTTTGAATTGTGAGGATTTCATCATCATTCCGGGGCATGAATATATACTGGGGTCGGAGTAGAGCAATTTGATGGGAAACCTCATGAATGATCTCACATCCCCGTGAGACACTTATACCCATGAAGTCCGCACTGACAATAATAAAGCTGCCTGTCGCATAAAACCGCAGAGTCAGTAGCACTTTTTCTGCCGGAGTGATTGCATGGTTCCTATCAACAAAACACAAAACTAGAATCAGTCCTCGGAGGAACATAAGTTGGGTGAAAATCCTGGAATGAACACAAAGGCTTTAGTTTAGGAATTCGAAGCGTTCACTGATAATATCCTTTCTTACTCATGAATTTAAAACATACCAACGAATAAATTTGGTCTGGTAATATAACTTGATTGATTGACAGGGGATGTCTGAATTTGGAAATCAGCACCTGCTGTTTTATAATAATATTATGATTAAATATAAAACTAAAAAAGAAGATGGGCAGAGCTTGGATTTAACTTAACAGTAGAGATGAAACTTATTAGCACAGTGTGCTCAGGGGGAGAGTCCATGGAAGAAAGAGAGAAGATTCCTCCATTGCCGAGAACTAATTTCATACAAAGCAAACTGTTAAGTTTCAGAGAGACTACTTATGGTAATTACAGCCCTGAAAATTCATTACAGTTTCTCTTTTCATTTCAGCTATAAAGCACTGGTTTGGAATCATTCACAGAATGTAAAACTCCGTTGTTGCATACAAAGGTAGTAGGTACTGAACCATCTGAAATTAAGTGAAAACTTAGGCATTGTTGATGCCATGAGAGAAAAACAAAGAAACTTCTTGAATGTTGGAAAGATCCAACCGGGAGGTAATTACGATGGAAATTACTTTTAAAGAAAAATTAAACAAAAATGACTATATACACAGTACATACCTGTATACAGTAGGGGCGATTTGAGGTCCAATTTCGGCGATCAAAACTTGGACAGTCTCTTTCGAGAGCCGAAATCTTTTGAGAAATTCAAAATCTCTGTACTCTTCAAAATAATTTGGTCGACGCCGAAAGATTCTGGGCCTACGATGAGGGTGGTTGAGCAGCAAATCCTCGAGTTCGATGTGAAATAGCAAATCGTCTGCCATTGTAGAACCTCGTATACAAATGTAAACAACAACAGATAACCAACTGATCAGTGCTAAACACTGGTGTCAAGGCCTGGAACACAGCTCCGGAGGTGTGTCAGCCAAACACCGACGCGCACCCTCAAACACGGGTTTGACACGCAGCGAAAATCGACATAAAATCGAGGTTTGGGCCAACACCGGTGTCAGACGCTGATACACCTCTGACACCGCCTTGACACGGGGAGATAAAATCGGCCCTTACGGGAGTCCAGGGTCCTATAGAACTGGTCCCTGCCTCTACCCACAACACACTCCACACGTAATCACCACCTGTTGCTCTCTCGTTATTTAATTGCTTTAATTGCAATACCACTGTGGAAGAATATTCTCTTCATCTGCTTGTCTATGTTGCGTCCGAAAAATGAATTTTCCCATGGCCTTTTATGACAAGTCACCGAAGTATAGCAAAAATCAGTTGGGATCGTTGCATTATGGCACTGCTGGATTTCGAACGAGGTAAGTCAAATGAATTATATCTGTTAAAGAAAGTCCTCTCCAGCACTCAACACAATATGAATTGGAGGGCATGAATTGCGAGCTAGGTCATTCCTGAATGGGACTGGCCTGTAAGAGCCACTTGAATGGGGATAAAAACTAATCATCAATGGCGCTACTGGAAGAATCGAATGTTCTGCTGAGATTCTGTCCGGAGCTCCAGAAGTTGAGTTACTAAAATCCTAATAAATTTTCATCATTAAGTATCCTTTGCCAAGTCTGGAGCATCCATGTTCCCTCTCTACAGACAATTTGATGACATCTGTGGCTACCTGAGCTTGTTGGCTACCAATTTTTCTGGTGTAAGGGCCCTCATTCCTGATGGACTGGCACAGATGAATGAATTTAACTTGCATGTATCCCTCAAGGGGTAATCGTTTACCTCAGGAGGCCACGTTCTCACCACGTTTCCTTCAGAAACTTGTAGTATGCATACGAGAGCACACAAAAAGTGCAAAATAACTGGGTGCGATCAATTTTAAACTAAGTTTTTGAGCAATAACAGTTACATGATTCCCTGTATCATATTGCATTTCGTCCCTGTCCGCCATTACCGTTGACGGAGCCACGCTGTATGACCAACCGTGCTATTTTTTCCTGAAACAAGAGACACCCATTTCAGGCACAACGGGTGGAAACACATTCCCCTTTCCACTGGAAATGGAATCAGCAGCTTTCCAAAGGACTGGAATTTTCACTGATTTTCCATTTGTGTATACTGTTAGTACTATCATGGATGGTGATTAGTAGAGTCCCTTTGCACCCAGAGTTAAGACAACTCGATTATCAGCTGACTAGCAGCTGGCCTTGGCTGGCCATGGAGGCACAAACGAATGCACCCAAACGAATAATATTAAGGGATAAGGATAAGGAATCCTGCGATGTCTGTCATCCAAAAAAAACAATATCAACAAAATTGATCAATTAAAAAGAAAATGAGAATGGTTTGTGAATAATTTCTTAATCTATTTTCATTTTGGATCAATGGAAATATCAATTCACTCTTGATAAACCACAATTAGGTAATATCTTCATTAGTTTTGTTTACATTCGAGTCACTGCCATCTTGGTGCACTTGTTTGTGACTCCATGAGCGAGAATTAATCAAAATTGGATTTTTTTTTAGGCCACTTTCAGCCCAACCAAAAGTGAGTTGTCGTAACTCTAGGTATAAAGGGACTCTCTCTAGTGATCAGTTTGGCAAGTGTGAAAATTGTTCACCGACGACAGAAGAAATTTATGGTATTGTTACAAATCGCAGTTGGCTTATAAAATTTTTAGAGAGACACCGTGTCATTCCCCGCTTTTCCAAGTGTGGTAGATGCGGAAGCTTGTTAAATGTGAATTGTAACGGGAAGAAACTAGTATTCTGGTGTAGGAAAAAGGTGACCGTTAAGAAGAAAAAAGTGCTGTAATTACAAAGCTAGCATATTTAAGAATACGCACTTTGAAAATGGTAATTGGACTATTTAGAAAGTTTTAATTGCTGCCTGGCACTGGCTTACACGTGATCCTCTGCAGCAAAATTTTATTTGCAAAGGAATTAAAGCTAGCAAAAGAACAGTTGTAGATTGGGCCAGTTTCAAAAGAGGAGTTTTCTTAGATTGGTGTGAATGAAATAGCTGAAAAGATTTGAGCGTGCGGTAAAGAGCGCGAGAATTCTTGCGTGGGAAACGGAATTTGATTTGAACTCGTCTTCTTGATTTTTGCACATTTCTTGTTCTAAACTCATTTTAAATGCCCAAAACGAACAAATCAATACAGTTGGGACGGTGAATTTTTATAGTAAATCTACTTTGACTTGGTAAGACACAGGCATCTCAGATGAATTTTTCTGTTGCTCCTGGGGGCCGCATCGGCTCTAACTGACCCTTACAGTCCAAGATGATCTTTAACCGGAGAGTGGGGTTATTTGGTCCGTGGGGTTCAATTGGTCTCGTGGGATATTTTCCCGCCTAATTTGGATTTTTTAGTTTTGCCGGCATAGGAAGTTGGCAATACTTGTATTCTACTAAAAAAAATGTGAAGTGACGTCATCGGCATTCTTTGTTTTTGTTTTGGAACCTTATAGAACGTCGCTGTCCCAGAGCCAACCCGCAGACGGAACAGGGAGCTCGGGAAGCGAGCGGGATGGTACTATCGCCGAATTTAGTTTCACGCTTAGGCCGCTCCAAATCAAATGTAAACTGTGCGACGAGGCGCAGCGCGGCGTGGCGCGTTTCGGAGATATCGGGTGCTGACTGGACCTATCTCATCTCATGCCAACGAGGAAAACGGAGGCACATGAACAATTGACAAATCTGCTACTTTTTCAAGAAAATATCCCTCAGACAAGCATCTATAGGTGCAAACCCATAATTGACAGCGCAACACCGCGGTCACTCGAAAATAGAGCTAAAATTTCATGAGGTGCAACTGATTTTTTTCTTCTAGACACCGCCGTGCCGGCAGGTTACATGGAGTTCTTTGGGACAAAGGCGTATGCGCGCATCCGCCCTTTTTCCGGAGAACGCGTTTTCTGAAACTGGATTCTTCCTAGTTTCAGGAAATATACATAGTGTATTAAAAAGTCGTGCCCCCCCCCACCCTTTTTACACAACGATCCACGTTATCTTGTAGGGATCATAGGGGAATGTAGTCACAATGTTCCGTTTTTGCAAGTATACTCTCAAAGACTTGTTCTTTCAAACTAATTAAATTTCGTGCGAAGATATTGGCTAGTACCAACGCTATGCACTTCTGAACTTTCAAATGCGATTTCCGCGGAACTACCTTTTTGAACACACATCCTTGTTCCAAAGGACTTCTTAATTCAGGATATACTTCTTCGCGCAGGAAGTTTGAAATTGGCGCAAAACTGGTCCGCTGTTGAATATGAAAGATTACACAAGTATACACCGAAAAAAAAATGAATGCTTCATTAGCGAATTCTCGTGTAATATTCAGCCCTGGGTCCAAGTATGACCTCGGTTTGTCCCTGTCTCTGCCATTTTCCAGGCAAATTGGGATTATTTAAAAATGAATTTTCCAAGGAAAATTTGATTTTCTGGAAATTGATGCATGATCGAGATTAACCGAAGTAATTCTTGAATTTAGGGGCCAAGGATACATAGACACTAGCCAGACATGCATTGCATGCCGCATGTCCAAAAAACATGTCTCCCTTTTTCTGATGAGAGTTTTCCGGTCAAAATGGCATTTTCCACCCGCGAATCATATATAAAACTGGTCCGTTGTTTTGAGTCCGGAAGGACAAAAAATCATTTTATTCAGATAGCTATAATTGAGCTACTATATCTTATTTTTTGCTTCTGACCCCGAATCGACCTTTGTATTTTCCACAACCCACTAATTTTCCAAAAGATCGAGTTTGCAACAAAAAAACCCTTATTCAGATGCCAAAAATACGCATTTGTATAAACCTTCGGATTTCCAAAATATTGGTCAGAAGTATGTATAAAAAAAACACGGCCATTCTCTGATCTAGCAGCAAACATATAGTTAGTGGAAGGTCCTCCATTAAGGACCTAGATAAAATAATTTTTCCGTTCTTTCGGACGAAAAACAAAATGATGCGTTTCACTTGGGGCTTTACAAGCGCATTATGTCATTTGACTGGAGAAAAATTGTTATTAGAAAAAGTGAGAGACATTCGTTGGACGTGCAATAACCTGTATCCTTTTGTATTACTCGATCCAAAAATTACCTTATTCATTTCTATCGGACACCAGTTCCCTCGTAAAATTAAACGTTCCTCGCGTGGACGGACTGGCTCACATCTAAGAGCGTGGACCCTTGGCCGGTTAAGGGGGTGTCGTATGATATTTCCCGGGGGGATGCACCCCCAGGGAAAAATTTTTAAAATTGAGCGTGTTAAAGTAACCGATGGACTTGTGAAACGAAAAAAAAGAGAACAAATCACAGCTACCAGACGCATCCAAGCTCCGTTATTTCTAGAGATTCTGAGGCAGATCTGGCCACCTAAAATAGTGCTTTTAAACACTAAAAGTCTGAAAATGATGAACCCAAAAAACATGACAGCTGGAAAGATCTTTTTAGCTTCCTCGATTGGAAAATGAAACATGCAATCTAGTTAGTACAAGGTGAAATTTTGAAGGAGAGAGAGAGGGAAAAAGAGTGTTGAGTCTAGCAAAGGACAAGGTGTTTAGTAAGGCAAGTAAAAAAAAGAGATAGGAACAAATCAATTAAATGCAGATAGGAACAAATCAATTAAATGCATCAGGTTTATACGGCAGGAAGATCCATTCAGCAATAATTTTGTTGGAAATGAGAATATTTTCAGACGTGACCGAACAATTGAAGCCTAACTTTGTGAGATAGCATAACCAAATTTTATTGAAATTCACAGACTGAATGGCCTATTTTGGATCCAATGTTGAATACTGACTTTTTGCGAGGAAGATGCAGTCATTTTAATGATATTTTTATTAACACTTGAATGCTGAAGCCGGGTCTAATTGCGAGGCTTCCTAACAAAACCTGCCTCGCAGATTGGATGGGGCCGGTTCACGCGAGCTTTAGATGTTGGTCTGCAAATCATTCCAAAAAAGAATCGAGTATCAAATCAACACAGTCGAAGAAAGGAGGGACCTATTTGGGCCTCTTTTTTAGCTTTTCTCCCTGAATCTAAGAGACACCTCATTGGCAGCACATAGCGGAGCATTGCGTGTTCATGCCCCGGGCCATTGCGCCTTCAATTTTGCAGATGCAACACGGACATCCATCAAGCACGAATAGTCGTCTCTCTGCGCCGTGATCAACGCGAGTCCTTTCCCTTGCTCCATTTCCTTATTGTGTTTTTTTCGTTTGTCTCACTTGTAGTGGTGCTTTAAAGGCTACGTGAGCAACACAGTCGAAGGTAAGAAAAACGTAATCCGGCCTCGCTTTTTACCTTTTCTCGCGAATCTGACTATATAACAGCCTAGAGAAGAGCATATTGC